TCAGCTTTCGATGAAACTTGAACACTGTCTTACTTTTTAACTGTCTTTTGCTATTATTCTTTTATTTTTTTGTTTATCCAGTAGGTAAAAATAATTTATCTGAAGATTAAACAATCGGTTCATAGACATTTTTAACTGATTTTGTATTTTGACATATTTACCGTTATTAGTAATTGAATTTAATATAGTAAAACTGTATAATGTCAAATAATATTATTAAATTTCATATAAAAATATGAAGTTGAAAGAATATGTTTAGTGGCAATTTTATTACTTTAATCAATTGTAGATAATTTTGAAATTTTGTAATTTTTACTTAAATATAGTAACTTTAAGTTCGAAACACATATAGTAAGAAATATCGTTGGTTGGAAAAAAAGATAAAGAAGAAAATATCATTTATTGATATCTAAATGATTAAAATATTACTTTTATATACATATATATAAGTAATTCTTATATAGGGGCCAAGAGGATTATAAGACCAAGGCCTGTTGTCGTACAAGATTGATTGTCAAAATGTTTATAACTCAATCAGCACATAACAGAAAAATCTTTTTTTGTAACTGTAAATTGCTGATACAATATTAATTTGTGTAAAATAGTTTACACCAAAAGCATTGTATAATATATATATATACATATATTATTTACAATGACTTTTAAAACTGATGAATACATTTTTCTTATTACCAATGTTACTAATATATAACAAGTCTTTAGCGTTATTAATCGAGATATCCTTGTATTCATAAAAAATATCATATTCATAAAAAATGTCTCAGACAATTTTTGCTATAATTAATAATGTATCTGTAAGTATATTCTCTAAAATATGTATGTCGATCTAAATATATTAAAATTGACTGTCATCTAATCTGACTTAGGTCAGGTGATAAATGAGATGAATAAGATATATAGGCCCTTCTAATTCACTATGTGTTAATGCATATATGTAGTGTGTACGTATATAGGTGTGAAAGGGACAAGGGAAGGGAAGCGCATCGTAGCAGAAGGGATCAAATAAACAAAATGACACATAATCATTTTCGGATTTGTATTTTATAATTTGTCTGTATTTACATGAAAGTGAATCCGATTATGATTAAAATGTTTATAATAGATTGCACAATTGTTATTAGAGAATGGAAGTAATTATTACTTGTAACGAAATTACAGTTACTTTTTGATAACTTTACTGATAACTGTGTTATTCTTTTTTTTATAACGGTAACTTCTTTTACAGTTACTTTTATCGTTACTTTGGACACGGTTGGACACGGTTCGATTGGACATGCTATTCATAGCGTTCGAGACTAGAAAACCATTCGTACTTGTCTGCTGTGATTGAGGATTGTCGATTTTAAAAAAATAACAAAAAGTTACTTTTTTAAGTAACGGTAACAAGTTATTTTTAAAAATCGGTAACTAGTAACTGTAACTTGTTTCTTTTAAAAAATAACTTTGCATTCCCTGATTATTAAAATGTTAGTTATTTAACCTTTGAACGGTATTATTGAAAAAATATAATATATTATTGATAACATCGATCTAACAGACCGCTGTCATGTTTCTATTAATTTTATAAATTCTTTAATAATGAAGAATGTATGTACATATATTTATATATTCATATGTAAATACGCACACGTTTATACGTATGTATGAACATATGTACATATTATGCATATTGAGCAAACATACCGACTAACATTACCATTGGTATATTTTTTTAATGATATTGTTCAAAGATTACATAACTAACATACTAATAACAATTATGCAATCTATTACAAACATTTCGATTGTAATCGGGTCATTTTCAATGTTAATGCAAATTATAAGATACGAATCCGATGACAATGATACTGTTTCATTTATTTGATCCTTAATTGTTTTTTGTGACGCATTTTCCTCTCCCTTGTTCTCCTCACACACACACACACACACACACACACACACACGCGCGCGCGCGCGCGCGCACGCACGCACGCACGCACGCACGCACGCACACACACACACACACACACACACACACACACACACACACATACGCACTAATCCATAGTGAATTAGAACTGGTCTTATATCCTACTGAGATAATACGAAATTTAATATATTTAGAAATATATAATATTTCATATAAATATATGTTTTTTTATTTTTCATTTAGAAACTACAGTACAAAAATAAATTACGTATTTTTTTTATGATTAAAATAATATTTTATTTGTACTAATACTATGATTACTATATAGAAGTGACATTAAAATAAAAATTGCATTTTTTATATGTTATTCATAATAAAGATGTTACTACCGATCTTAGAACATGACAATCAATCCAAAACATTCTAACTTTAATTTAACATATAATTTTCATATTTTCGTAATACCATTAGAATTGAATAACTAATTTATATTTGTTGATGATTTCAAAAGTAATATTTTTTTAATACAAAAGTTGTAGGTATATTATAACGTATATAATATTTAACGTATATAGATCAAATATCCACTTTTTTCGAAAAATTAATAATCAAAAACAATGATAATTGGCTTCGATCTTTCCTAATTATAGATATGTACATAATTTAAATTATCGTTCTAATCAAACTTTTTTTAAATTTGCGTATTTAATATCGATTCTCTGTAATGATATAATTATATAATTTTTATACTGGAGAATATTTATTACTTATATAAATATAATTAAATATTTATATAATAAATAATACTTTTGTTGTTATGTAAATAACACTCTTTGTAAATTTGTATAGTAATAAGTCACTTCTGTAATAAGATTTTTTTGTTGTCTGTCTGTAATTAATAATATAAAATTAAAAGGAAAATTTGAATTAAAATAAAGTCGTAACAAAAAAATACAAATTTGTTTTTTTTTTTTTTCAGAAGAAGGAAGAATTTAATTGCCATTCTTAACTTTGTATTTGCATTTTATCCCTAATATTGCGAGATACTTTTCGAAGAGAACTTTTTTTACAAAACTAGATAAATATCTAGAAATGATTAAATGTTAATATAACGTTTAACTTATGACATTGAAATAAGTTTTTATTGGAAAAATTCTTTGTATTTCTTTATTTGTATATCGAATAAATTTTAGTTTAAATAGAAAGATTTTTAGACAGTATTAAATAAAGAATGTTTTTAGGACTGTACATATGAATACACAGCTATATAAAGAATAAATTAAATGTCTTTAATACTAAAACTGGATCTTAAATGCTTAAATATTCTATGTAAATTTATATATACTGTATGTACCAATGTAGTCATTTAAATTGAGCACCGAATTAATTTTTGGGTTTGAAACATAAATCTTATTGAACTACTACTAGTAATCCTAAATTAAATTGAATAGCAATTTAATAATTTGATGCTTATAGATATCTTAGAAAGATCTTAATAACGTTGAATAATATATTAAAATGATCTTATTGCGAAAAATATTACCTCGGTCAAATATAACCCAGATTTTTTGCATTTCTTACTAAGCAAGCGTCCTTACTTTTCGGATTATTTAAAAAAACATTACCTTTAATTTTTTCTAAAATTAAGAATATATATTTTTAATAAGATTTATCCTATATAATTTGTAAAATTATTTGCAATTATTTTGATGAGAACAGAAATATATGTTTTCATATATGTATAAATAAAATATTCTTAATACAGACTTAATTTATTTCAATATCATTCTACATAAAGATTTACTATAAATATTCATCATACACGTAATATATACGAGTGGAAAATCTAGAAAAAGATAAAGTTTTGTCATGATTATGCTACAATTAACTCTTACATAAGTATTATTGCAGCATAATCTCAAAATCAGAATAAAGGAAAAATAAATTTTTCACAATGTAAACGTTAAATTTTTCTTCGAATAATAAATATTATTTTGATAATTTCATTATCATTATAATAATTTATTATTATTTATAAAAAAATAATAAAAAAAGAATCAAAACATACATATAAACTTAAACAATAAAGATTAAGCGAGCATTATTATGCTTGTTCAAAGAAAGAATGATTATATCTTACGTCAATTTTTGTAATTATATTCTTGCAATTTTATATTTTTTGTAGTATGGTGAAAGATTAAGATCTACAACACGTCACATAAAAAATAATGTAGCAATTCTATATTTTTGAGAAAAATATTTTTTTAAAACTTTCTTGATCAAAATAATCAATAATCTAATTTTAAAAAAAGAGCATTATTTATAATTTTATTTGGCAAAATGCATATGAATTTTAATAAGTATATGTGTATTATATAATTCTTCAATTATTTATTATATAAGTATATAACATTATAACATTATAACTAAAAAATTCTATTCTGAATAATGATGAATTCTAGATGATGAATTCTAGAATAAATTATATATCATTTTTAACGGTTTTATAGAATAATATAGTCTGGAAATTATTTTATAATATTAATTAACATATGTTTTAAAAATGAATTTTTATTTAAATAAAAAAATTATTTGTACTATAATTAATTTTTATTGAAATAAATTTTTTTGTTTTTCATTACATAAAAAGAAAACATCTATTGTTTGTATTTTCTTTTTTAAATGTAACACGCAAATACAATTTAGATGACATTAGTATAAATTTGAATAAATAATGACTATAAGACAAGGAAATGACTAATTATAATAGCAAATCGCTCCTAAACAAGAATATTGTTTGCTTTATATACTAATTTTTTCCTTTTCATAAACGAATTTTTTACAACTCATTCTCTATTGTAATTAATTTTCTTCTTGAGTTATTCTCCTACACAATTTCCATGTAATTACATAAACATGTATTCGTGATAAAACGAATGAAAGACAAAGTACACGATATTTTGATGCATGTGTTATTAAAAAAAGAGCAAGAATTGATAAGTAACTTAAAATAAAGTGGTAGGTATATAAGAGCTTGTGCGCACCTGTGTAGATTAGTCTTGATTTCGTCGTGTATCAATTACAATTGCTCGTGAGTCATTTTAAAAGATCAGAAAAATTTTATGTTGAAAAATGTTTGCTATAATTTTTACTTTTACACTTATGATGGCATATACTGCCGCAGAAATACGTAAGTTTGTAAAAGTATTTATCCTGAGGAGCAGATTTTCAAAATGCGTTTTGTCCAAAATTGATAATTTTCAGGAAATAAGAAAAAAGCAACAAGAAAATTTTACATCTTACAGAAAATAATAATTTGCCAATCAGTAAGATGAGAAATTGTCCAATAAAATTGCTAAACAGTTGTTAAAAATGTAAACAAATATATTTTGTTTGTTTCTAGTTAAAAGACATAATGCACTTCGAACGTCAAAATTTCTTTCATAAATTGATGGTGTAGAAATACTTTTAGAACATTTAAAGAGTAGCTTAAAATATGAGTCTCATAATACTAAACACTATGCCATCTTTAATTAAAAAAATGAAATTTTGGACAAAATGCATTTTGAAAACCTGCTCCTCATTTATTAATTTTTTATGTGACGCGTGTTATAGATATATTTCACCATACTACAAAAAAAGATTTGTTGACATTATTTGAAACACAAAATTTGGAATAGTTACAAACTAAAATTGTTGATAATAATAATATATATCGTTGCTCTTAATTCATTGGATAGAGAAATTGGAAAAAACAAATTAATGAAATACTTCTCAAATAAGAGAGAGATCCCTTTTGCCTATAAATCGATAGTTTATATCATTGTTTGTCTACATTACTTTTGCCGATAGTTCATTTGCGCAAAAATTATTGCTTACAGCTTGCCTATACTTTTGCGCACAAATAAAAATTTCAGAAATGAAATCATATTTGGCTACATGTATTATTACTTACATGAATTATTGCTTATAGGTCGATTGCAAGCACTTTTACGCACAAATATAAAATTAAAGTTAAATAAGAAAACAATATTTTTAAAGCAGAGATAGTAATCGAATTGTAAGCAATAATACATGCAGGCAATCGAGCTGTAGACAGTAATACATGTAGATCAGACTTGTCCAATTTGAGTTTCAGAAAACTCAAAGCCATTGACGCGATGTAAAAAAAAATCAATATTTGAGTTACGGAGCTCAAATCAGACAAGACTGATATAGGCAAATGTGATTTCGTTTCTGAAATTTTTATTTGTGTATAAAATGCTAGATAATCAAGCTATAAGCAGTTATATAGGCAATAATACATGTAGGCAAACGTGACTTCGTTTCTGAAATTTTTACTTGTTCGCAAAAGTGCATGTAGGTAATCGAGCTATAGGTAATAATTTTTGTGTGCAAACGAACTTTCGGCAAAGATGAGGTAAAATTAATATAGGCAATCGATTTGTAGGCAAATGGGATTCTCTCTTTGTTTGTGCATAAAAATCATTGCCTACAGCTTGATTGCCTACAAACATTTTTGTACACAAATAAAAATTTCAAAGACAAAATTACATTTGCCTACATGTATTATTGCTTACAGATCGATATCCTATAAATACTTTTACGTACAAATTCAAAATTATAAGGTTAAGTTAAGTATAAAAATAATTTGTATTTTAAAGCAGAGAATTTATTTCAAAAGAGAATTCGTGTTTTTAAAACAGATCATATAGGCAATTGAGCTATAGGTATAATAATTTTTGTGCGCAAATGAACTGTCGGCAAAAGTGATGTAGCAAACGATGTTGTAGGTAATCTATTTATGTAAACAAACGGGATACTCCCTTTTCAAATTAAATCTTTAATTTTAATGCAATCAAGATATTTTAGCAAGTAATATTTAGTAACTTAAAAAAAAAGTAAAATATTATAGGTATCCAATATATGCGTTTTTTGAAAATGACTGTTGTAAAACTATTTTAAAAAAATAACAAGTGTGTGTGTGTGTGTGTGTGTGTGTGTGTGTGTGTGTGTGTGTGTGTGTGTGTGTGTGTG